CGTGCGTGCGTGTGTGTGTGTGTGTGTGTGTGTGTGTGTGTGTGTGTGTGTGTGTATGCGTTCATGCATGTTTCTACTTTTTACTCAAACGATTTGAAATTCCGCATGCAGCTGTGCACGCAGCAAAAATGAACTGTTAGCTGTTTGCCGTTAGCAGCCATGTACGTAATGCAATATACGACTGTACCACTTCCTGTTGTTTATAACGGTATGGACGTATCACTGATTGTCCCACGACATTCAGCTTGATCTATAGTTAATTTGGATAATATTTAGATTATCATATTCCGCGGACATTTTTCGGATATTTTATTATTATGTATTTGATTGGTACATTAATGTTTCCCTTAATATTACGATTAAATTACATTAAAAATATAATTTATAAGAACAAGAATAGAAAATTAATATCCATTTATTTTGCATTTTCTCTCTTGAGTCTTGTGACAATTCATTGCAATGTATATTCAATAACCTTAACAAAATCAAGACTAATAAAAAGTCTAATTTAAATAAAAATTGACATTTTTAACATTTATGTAAATATATATATGTATATACATATATATATATATATATATATATATATATGGAAGAATGATAATTATATAATATACATAATTATGTAATATATTTCAAGAAATTATATTTGTTTTATATACAGGGTGTCCGGTAAATCACCTGCAATACTTCGGGAGGCAATGATTCGGAACACTAATAGAAGGAAAAAAGGTTACATAAACATAGGTCTGGAAATAAGTTGTTTTCGAATTATAACAACTTTTACGTTAAAAAAATTGTAATTTATTTTTCATAATCATAATTAATAACAATTATAATTTATTATAATAATCATAATTAATGATAATAATTCATTTTTGTACCTATGATTTATCATATGAAGGCATAGTCCGCTTGGCAGTCCTATGTTCTATTTTTTTTTCTCGATATTTGTAAATACGATTACATTATTATTAGAATAAAGAATAAACATAAACAAGTGTTTAAATCGTTTGGCCAAGTGAATATTAATTGTAACAGTTCGGAAGGATCCAAATGTTTTTCAAAGAATTTGGAATTCCTTTGATAGAAAAATAAGGATCTGCATTCGTGCTGAAGGTGGTCATTTTGAACATCATTTAATTCGATTTAAATACCTGTTTACGTTTATCCTTCATTTTAAAAATGATGTAATTGTATTTACAAATATCAAGAAATTGAAAAAAAATTAAAAAAGAGAGATGCCAAGCGAACTATGCCTCCACGTAGTAAATCCTGGAAAAAAATTATTATAGCTAATTATGACCTAATTATTATAAATTATGATTGTTATTATAATTATTATTATAAAAAATAAATTATACTTTTTTAAACTAAAAAGTGGTTATAACTCGGAAACTACTTATTTCCGGGACTTATATTTATTAATCTCTTTTCTTTCTTTTTGGATCCCCAGTTACCTCTTAAAGTATTGCAGGCAATTTACTGAACATCGGCTATTAGATTCTGGAATTATAAATAGTGTTCCATTTAAAAAAATTAATGTGACCTTGATCTGACCTTGGCGACGCCGCCCAAGGTTAAACCGATAAGATCAATAAATAGATCTTTTAGATTTAGGAATATCACTACACGCCTCGGTAATTGAATGGTCAGGACGCCCGCACGGAGTGTAGGGAGATCTGGATTCGATTTCCGGTGGATATTTTTTGCAATAAATTTCTTTAAAGGTTTGGAAGGAATCTTATAAATGCATATTAGCATCGAAAGATATTAAATTATTCGTCAATTACTTAATTATTAGTTACAACAATTAACTAATTAATTAGTTACAAGTTTCCAGCTTCATGCAAAGAGCTGTGTTTCGAGACCGAAAAACCGTGCGGTGCACAGATCGTGTGTGGTTGTTACAATGAGACATTGTAACAATAAGAATTTACACATACCAACACCCGTCTCGGCTCTCACAATTACTTCATTATTTGATTTATTTCTTGGAGCCTATTCCTTCTATTTAAATTCTTTTAAAATAGTTAGATTCAATATCAAGTTTATTATGTTGTTTTCTTAATCAAAAAAATAATTTTACCTCGACATATATTCATAACTCGGTAATTACCGAGTGTTTTAAAAGATCTAATCTAGAGTGGTATCTGTATTCTTTTATTATTGATTTCAACTGTCTTTTTATTTGATTACGTACAAAACGTTGCAATCCTTGCATTTGCAGTCTTATTAAAAATGTTACGTTTTCGATTAAAATAATGTGATATATTTATTGGTATTAAACAGCAGATCTAATTGAAATTTGTATCTAAAACAGATTTAATCAAGTCAAAACATCCCATTTTAACATTATTATAAAGGCTAGTTGTTACATTTTTAGATAAATTATGCGATAATTTATCTAATAAATAAATAAATATCGGGCCAATAACGTTGGCTGTATAGACATTTATCCATTAGATAAATTACTACATAATTTATCGGAGAGTGGAACAACTCTAAATATGATTACATTCTAACATCTCTTGTTTACTTTTTATAGCCTCTATTGTCTTTTGTTTCTAATATTTATTAGACTTTATCATTAACTTTTTCATCGGATTTAACATATTATGACTTCGTTATTTCCTTAAAAAACTCAAAATATAGATAAAGGGTCAGCGTAACGACTTGATTCTTGACATTCAATATGTTCTTCGATCGATATTATAAAATCCATTCCAAAATCAGATTTAAAAAATGCTTCAAAAATGTTTACAATCGTTTCCAGCGATGTACTAACTCAAAAGAAATGTATTTCGAATAAATTATCTTCGAAATTAACTAAAATTCTTTTAATATTAATTTTTTCTTCCGATATCGGTCGCAAAGAACGCCATGTACATACCTATTATATTATTTTTAATACAATGAAAATTTCGATTTTTTTTTAATATACCTGATTTTATATACCTTTTTCAATATACTTTCAGCTGAGCACGTCCATATTTTTAGCAGATTTTCCTGTGTTATTTTCTTATTACTTTATATCTGCCTTTTAATCGTAAAATAAAAATTGCACACTTGAACAAATGACATTTTACTTTTCATTCTATACTATGAAATCGTTGGAATAAAAATAAAAATTAAAAAAGAAATGTTAAAGATGCTAAATTAAGATAATTAAAATGTTAAGATAATAAATTATTTGATGATTCGGTTATGTCCAACTGTTGGAATTTCCCAGTTGTATTAAAAACAAGAATAATTATAAATTTTTGTTACAACATAAAAAATATGCATGATGATAAGGCTCATAATTTACTTACTCTATCTTGTATCCTGATATTTTCTTGGCCCCTTTTTAAATTAGGGGCCCGAAGAATCTTGCTCGTAAGTGATGGTTCCATTATAACGTCAATTTCTGTTCTTTCATTAGGTTTCCATTTTTGGAAGGGTGTTCTGATTTCATTTCATTCTCTGCAACAAAAATTATTTTAATATAATTTTCGCCAAGAATTATATAAACGATATCCTTTCATATTCATAATTTAAAATAACAAATAATTCCTTCTCTGTAGTCACTTTCTGGTAGATTGCGATTAGATTCGCGAAAATAAATTAATTATCTCGTGTTATGTTCATAAAACATTTAAATCTTGTACGGATATTTATTTTAGTTTAAAATATAGCAATAATAGGTGTTTCGCTTGCATCCTTCTAAAAAGTGCATTTGTTGGAAAATCATGTCTCAATAGCAGAATTCGCATTGATATGAAATCAGCAAATTGAATATTTCGGATTCTTCAGATTTGCGTGAATTCGATTTCTCGGCAGAAACGATAATAAGCCATATATAGCGAATTGCTAAGCGAAAGTAAGAATAAATGTGTGTCTCGATCGTGGGAGATCGCGACCTACGCAAATTCCGCATTGAATTGCAGTTAGTACTAAATTTAGTTAGTACTAAATTATTGTCAGTACTAAAGCAGAATAATGGTCTATTAGTTAACAGAAGATAAAATAAACAATGTGTGACTTTTATTTGTTCGTTTATTTAAATAATTAGGAAATAATGTATTATATTCTAAGAAAATTAATATCATTTTATTAAACGATAAATTGCACTGATTGCTATAAATGAATAATATTAAATAGAGAAAAGCATTTCAACAGATCAGGGCTGGATCTTACAATTAGTGCCTAGTAATATTTCTAGGTAAATTTTTTTGAATTATTTAAATTGCGAGCTGAAACATTATTGGATTTGCAACGCAACCACAAACTAAAACTGGAATAGTAAAATTAAATTAAACTTCAATTTAATAATAATAATGTTAATAAGCATCTTAAAACACTGCAAAAATTTTATTGCAAAAAAACATCACAGTTAAGGATTGAACCTGGAACCTCCTGACTATCCAGAACGGGCGTCTTTAATTCTATCATCGAGACATATGATAATATTTTTCACAATAACTAGTATATATTAAGGAATGACGTATTGTAAAGCATGTCTACAAACAATAATAAGTTAAATTAGACCGCTAACAACGCTAAAAAAAATATCAAAACGAAATTAGTTATTTCATTTAGTTTTTAGATGTTGAATATGAATCTGGTTGTTAAATTGCTCTATCAGCTCAAAATGTTGAAAAATTACTAACCATGAAGATCTTATTTAACCATAAAATTTAACCATAAGATCTTATTAGCCATTGCCGACATAAAAATTTCTTTTAAAAGCTGAAAATCACAACATATATTTAATTTTGATTACAATAAAATTTCTCCAGCACATCGTAATTCTGGAAATTTTCAAATCTATTAAAATAATACGTAGAAATTTCGATACAAAAATTATTGTATTTAATTTGTAAAACAGACAGATCTTCAGCATCACTTTACATCAGAAAAAATTATGTCAATCAAATGTAATCGGGAAGTGATTTTAAAAAAGATTACGTAAAAAATAATAAGTAATTATACTTATTAATTTTAACATTCCGGGAAAAAGTTCCATATATAATTATATATAATTATATGCAAAATATATCCATATATGTTTATTTCCTTTGTAAAATTATTCTTTAATACAAAATTGATAATAATAAGGAAACATAAAAAATAATTAAAAGAATAATTTTTACATTGGTTTCTTTTACAAAAAATAAAGTTTGAAGAAATGAGAAAAATTGCTCATATATAATCATACATAAGTGATTAAAAATATACATATATAATTATATATGA